TTAAGAACTAAGTAAGTTTAACCATGGTAAATCAAGATTTTTTGTCTGTGCATCCATCTCCTAAAATTAATTAAGGTAGTCCAGGTGAAAAAATAAATAAATAAATAAAAAGAATTTTTTATTAAATAAATTAAAAGCAATTATTATAAATATGTAAACAATAACTTCTCAAATAAATTGTTGAAAATTAGTCTCATGTGTTGGACAGACAAAGAAATAAGCTTTATAATAAGTCAGCTTTCATATATTTATTAAAATAAAACTTTCTCGAATTCAACAACTTTCTGCAACATTTAAATTAACATTAAAAGCAATAAAAATATCATTCAAATTTACTTTATTTCAAACGATAATTTTTTTCTCTCTTGATAACTATTAATCAGTAATTTTCATTATTAATCATCATTTAATAACAGGCAGTTGCATTAAAAATAATCTAAATCGCAGCACTGAATTATATAATAATAATCTTCAAGAATATTGTTTAATTAAAATTTGTAGCAGTACCAGGTTTGAAATACAAATGACAATTTAATAAATGTGCAACAACCTAAATGTCTGTTCTTGTGTTGATAGTATGGTAATGAATTCGGAAGAGGTAATAAATAGCTGTTTGCAGTAATAAGTTTGTTTTGTCACATTATGCTAACTGCCTGCCGTAACGACAATAGGAAATTGCTCGGATTTAGTCCCTTAATGAGTCATCATTGCAAGACGATTCACTGAATAAACACATAGAGCATTTTGATCTAATATTGCGTGCGATTAAGACTTAATTCCGCACCAAGTAAAGGAATAATAAAAGGGGGATAAAATAAACGAAATATATTAAGGTTTTATTAAAAGCCTTTCGTTAACAGTTATCAATGAAAATGACTTACTGTTTCGTTTTTTTTTCTCCTATTGCTTTTAAAAATATGTAATAATTTTTTTTTAAATATTTTTTATTTATTCTAAAAAAACTAAATATCTAACTAATCTGTTGAAATATATGAAAGGTTTATTAAAAGCCTCTGAGATAAAAATTACTCACTGTTTCTCATTTTTCGTATTTTATCATAGGTCTAAGAAAATATTCAATAATTATTTATTAAATATTTTTAACGTATTATTTAAAAAAAAACTATTTAATTTTTAATAATAAGTTTATTTTTTAGATACTGTCCAACATATGAGTATAATATAGTTTAATATAATTGTGTAATAGTAAGAAAATGATTTTGAAAACCAGAATGTGTTATCCAATGCCATTTGAATGGATATATTACAAAATGACTGGTTTAAATACCCATTTTAGTTTTTGCCCGAAATGTCATTACCGTATAAAACGGTAATTTTACTATATTTTTTCTCCTTGAATAGAAACATTAAAAAGTATTCAGATCACGAGTGCATAACGTTTAAAAGATTTTATTTGAATTGATTAACTGTTGAAAATAAAAACATTAAAAAATGTATTTAAATTAAGAAAAAAAAAGATAAATATAAGTAGGTTTAATCGCTATTAATCATAATAATCGTTGTCGTTATTAATATTTATAACGTCACAAAATGCAAGAAAAAATAAAAAAAAAAAACGAAGAAATTTTTTTTTTAAAAATTGCATTATTGAAAAAGAAAACTTTTATCATTAGACTTTAAACCTTTTGTTATGTAACACTTGAATAATAAATTAAGTGAACAGGATTAGTAAAAAAGGTTTCCTAAAAAAACGATTTATGAGAATTTGAATCAATAAAATTTAAAAAGGATTTAACACATATCTTAAGTTACACTGCGCTTTAGATTAATGTGAGGCAGTGCAGGAGAGAGAATAAGAGACAGAGATTAAAGTAATTTTTATACTTTTTTTGCAACGTAATATATAATAGTAATATTTTTTACAAAAAAAACTATTTGTAATATTTTTTATTTAGGCCAGTATAAAACAATTTATATTTAACAATTTTTATTTATATTTTTGTATCATAAGAAGAAATATGTATGAATATGTTTTCATGCATACGTTACCGAAAATGTTACGCTACCGCAACTTTCTATATAGTAACAAGGTAAAGGATGGAATATGGGAAAAAGTCTGAATATACCGACTAAGTGCTCCCCTTAATGTAAAATAAACAACCAAAGCTCGAAATAACTACCTATTTCGCACAATAAAAAATTGCCGAATGTCAAGAAACAAGCGTCTTTTGACTAAAAGTTTTTTTTTTAAAGACAATCTTTCATTATTAATTATTTAAAAAATAACGTTTGTATTTTTAAGGAATGAACGACTTTTAAAATGCAGCTTGATCTCATTTTCTTGATCGCATTTTTAGATAAAATGGGGCATCGTAAGAAATATCTATAATTAAAACCGTAAGCAACACCCATAACAATTAGCATATAACTCTATTAATTGATATTTTGTCTGAAAATGCCTATACATTCAATTGATTGCGAGAATTTCTTGCACTTTGTAATAAGTGTAGGTTTATTTTCATTATTGTCTCTACATGTATGTTTCAATTCTACACTTATACCCCCTCTCACTACCCACAGTCAATGTCACCGGTATAGCCAAAACATATGAAGCTGCTCCCACACAATATATATCTTGCTTCAAATCCAGACCCTGATAGTTTTCCCTCTCTTTGAATGAAATTCTAAAATACATAAACAGTTTTAATGATAAAAGGATCACAATTTCCATTTCCATTGTCATCAAATTTGAAATTGTGTGTTTATGAAGTTTTGCTTTCGCAATTTTCAATACAACTATGCAATGCCATGCAAAAATCTTAGCACGTATGACTAAACATTTGTTTAGCGAAAGTGATACTATAATTTCACTGATCGACTAAAATCCACTTGTTTACTCAGTTGAATTCAAAACTAGAGTGTCCTATCTTATATAAAAAAAAAGATTCATTTGAATTAAGAAAAATGTGTTTTCTAAATACTTGTTAAAAAAAAAAAAACATACAAGATTTGCAAGTCTGCCTTTTTCATGTATTATTTTAATTGCCATGAAATAGAACAAAATCTAAACTATCTAGGTAACCAACCGACAACAAGAAAAGTCATAATTTAATTCCGTAAAAGCTTTATGATTTTTTCCTCAGTAAGAAAATGGTATAAAATCGGTTAAGTATAGCAAATATTTCATGTTATACAATTTGAATATTTTACATATAAAATCAATTGGTTTAGTACAGAATATTTTAAGAATTTATATAGCTACATATGAGTGTTTCAGTTAAGGAAATATTGTAATACATAATGAGCACAAGTAATGCATTGGCTAAAAAATAATTTAATTTTATATTTTTTTCTTATTTTATAATTTTTTCTATTACTGTTTGCAATTTTCTATTTTAATGATGTCTTACAGTGCCACCAAAAGGAATTATCATACGTGATAAAAGCGGTAATAAAATAAACACAATAGCTGGTCCTTATCACCTGGGAGAAGAACTTCATTTATTTTGCGATGCCGTAGGAGGTATTATGATTATGATTTTTTTACTATTTCAGAAATTTTGCCACAATTGAAGACTGTGTTTTAATTATGTTTTTGCAACTAATCACATAGTTGTNAATAATAAGAAGAAGTATGTCAGAATTTGTTTTCATGCATACGTTACCGAAATTGTTACGTTACCGCAACTTTCTATATAATAACAAGGTAATGAATGGAATACGGGAAAAAAGTGTATAGAAAAGTCTGAATATACCTTCTAAGTGTTCCCAATAATGTCAAATAAACAACCAAAGGACGAAATAACTACCTATTTCGCACAATAAAGAAATTGTCGAATGTCAAGAGATAAGCGTCGTTTAACTAAAAGTTTTTTTTAAAGACAGTCTTACATTATTAATTATTTAAAAAATAACGCTTGTATTTTTTAGGAATGAATGACTTTTAAATTACAGCTTGATCTCATTTTCTCCTTTCGCATTTTTACTTAAAATGGCGCATCGTAAAAAATATCTATAATTAATACCATAAGCAATACCTATACCAATTTGTATATAACTCTATTAATTGATATTTTGTCTGAAAATGCCTATGCATTCAATTGATTGCAAGAATGTCTTACACTTTGTAACAAGTGTAGGTTTATTATCATTATTGCCTCTATATGTATGTTTAAATTCTACACTTATACCCCTCTCACTACCCACAGTCACAGTCACCGGTGTGGCAAAAACATATGAAGCTGCTCCCACACAATATAAATCTTGCTTCACATCCAAACCCTGATAGTTTTCCCCCGCTTTAAATGAAATTCTAAAATACATAAACAATTTTAATGATAAAAGGATTACAATTTCCATTTCCATTGTCATTAAATTTGAAATTGTGTGTTTATGAAGTTTTTCTTTCGCAATTTTCAATGCAACAATGCAATACCATACAAAAAACTTAGCACGTATGACTAATCATTTGTCTAGCGAAAGTGATAATATAATTTCATTGTTCGACTAAAATCCACTTGTTTACAAGTCGAATTCAAAATTCGAGTGTCCTATCTTATTTAAAAAAAAGGTTCATTTGAATTACGAAAAATGTGTCTTCTAAATGCTTGTTAAAAAAAGTCTAACATATAAGACTTACAAATCTGCCTTTTTCATGTATTATATTAATTGCCAGGAATAGAGCAAAATCTAAACTATCTAATGAAAAACCGACGACAAGAAAAGTCATAATTTGTTCGGTAGACGCTTTATGATTTTTTTCCTCTGTAAGAAAATGGTATAAAATTGGTTAAATATAGCAAATATTTCATGTTATACAATTTGAATATTTTACATATAAAATCAATTGGTTTGGTACAGAATATTTTGAGAATTTATATAGCTACATGAGTGTTTCAGTTAAGGAAATATTGTAATACATAATGAACACAAGTAATGCATTGGCTAAACAATAATTTAATTTTACGTATATATTTTTTCTTATTTTCTTATTTTTTCTATTACTGTTTGCAATTTTCTATATTAATGATGTCTTACAGTGCCACCAAAAGGAATTATTATACGTGATAAAAGCGGTAATAAAGTAAACACAATAGCTGGTCCTTATCACCTGGGAGAAGAACTTCATTTATTTTGCGATGCCGTAGGAGGTATTATGATTATGATTTTTTTACTATTTCAGAAATTTTGCCACAATTGAAGACTGTGTTTTAATTATGTTTTTGCAACTAATCACATAGTTGTATAACGTAGTTGTATCATGTGGTTATGTTACATGGCATGCTAATGTAATAACTTTGAGGCATAAGTTTATTATGACGCTGAATCAATTTACGGATGAGATTTAATTGAATGCTTGCAAGTGGCGTCATGTGTGAGTGTTATCTGATTGTCTGATCCACGCAGGACGTCACCAGCAGAGAGCACTTAAATTTTTGTAATTAGAGCTTCTCTAATCATCTGCATTTCCGTTGCTTTGTAGAAGAAGAAAGAAATACTTCTCATTTAAGTATTTAAATTTAAATAAATCATTCAAAAGTATTTCACCTAGAATAATTTCTGGCAGTCTCCTATATTGAGATTGAACTCAAAAAAGGTACACCCTAAAAAAGTCAACAAAGCGTAAAACCATAATATTTTTACTTTGTACGTGAATACCAACCGTGGTCGTTCTCTGGATCAGGTCAAAATTATAATCTGTGGATGAACGAATGCATGTATGTGTGGACCGCCTTTTAAAGCGAGTATAACGTATAGGTGTGTCAGAAGTCAAACTCTTAGCCATATATGGCTCCACTTGATAACAAGGACAATCGCATCCCCTCTTCCTCAATGACTGGAAACAACAACAATATTAAGAACTGTATCAACAACCAAAATAAACTTGAAAATTACAAATACTGCTTAATCAGAATTGGCAACTTCGAATATTAAAATCTTTAAATCTGATATCAGACTCCTCTTCCAATTTATAGCCGGAACAGATATTCAATATCGTGAAAATAGCTTTTTAATCATTGGAAACTAAATTAATATATAGATTTCACGCAAAAATTTACTTTATTCATATTCAATGATTGCAGTGGAGTTCACTATTAGAAACTTATTTTAAAAAGTGTAATTTGACATACAACCTACTTGAAAAAAATGAGAGCCTACTTCAGAGCTTATTAGGTTATTGAACGTTTTACTGGTGTTACATTTATGCTTTTGTGTATGTCTCAACTATTTTATAATTACAAAATCTAGATTATTTATCCTAAAGAAAAGCTTTTTTAACAGATGTAGTAAATATGCTTGGTTTATGAACAGTAGAAAAATCATTTACATTTAATTGCTTATTTTGTTTTTAAAACTTGGTAGATTAGTTAGACTGTATATGCATATGAGATACACCAAAAACGAGGTTTCTAGCATCAAAAATAATAAAAATTATTTTAAAGTTTAAAAAGTCTCTTTATAAAACTAACATCAATTAAAGAAAAAACGGAAACCCTGAAATAAAAACCCTGAAAAATCCACAAATGATTACAGGAAAAAAGACAAATATCGAATGTATTTATTATTCCTGTCTGTAGCATTTTTAATGCAAGGAATAACACGTTTTCATACCATAAAAAGGAAATTTTAATTGTTTTTTATTATCTGTGTTAAATATAATAATTATCTTATACAAATACAAAGTAGACAAAACTTTTATATGAATTAGCAATGCCTTTTACTATGGCCTTTACAAGGTCTTTTCTGATTACTTATGGCAACACTTTAACAAGAACTCGTGCTAATACAAGTATAAGTTTGTACTTAGACTTGAAAATGGATTTTGAATCCGTGTTTAAGGTATATTATCCAACAATGGTCATTAAAGGAAACACAGTTTAGCTACATTTATCATTATTTCCACAATTATCACATTTATCACAATAACTGCAATCCTTTTAAGGAATTGTATAATTTGAATTATGAGCATAGTTGAAACTTTGAATGGTCTTTTAGAAGCATGATATGTATTTAATATTTATTAGGTTCTTGAAGTTGTTAATTTTAGGTAAATATTTTAACAGGACATCCTCTACCTAATATATCGTGGATTGGAGAAAGAACGATTAATACAACTTTTCAGGTCTATGGAAATACAAGTTTTTTAAGGAGTGACCTGCTTATTCCCACCTTAAATAAGTTTCATCAGGGTAATAAATTTTCTTGTAGAGCTTGGAATAATAATGTAACCACACCAGTTATTTCAATAGTTACATTAGATTTAATAAGTAAGTCTTGTGAATTTTTACTTATTTCTTATGATCATTGCAAATTAAACGAAATATTAATTCATTTGTTACAAAATTTTAGAGACTTGTATAGAATTGTTAATGTTTCCAAAACAAATTCATTTGTATTACTCGAAAAAGCTGTCGTTGCTTACCAATTCATTTAGTAATGTATTAAAATTATATTATTATGTATTAGAAATGTATTAAATTTATTCATTTAGTAATGTAATAAAAACGAAAAATTCTCTTGAACGCACAGCTTGGAAACAGTTTGGCTAAGTAAAATGTTTCATTAATTAAATTTTTCCTAAAAATCGAAAACTCTTTGGTTCTCCATAGTACACAGAGGAAACAATTCTAGTACAATTACTATACTGTATAGCAGTGCTCTATAACCCCCGGGCAGTGGATAAATTGGAATCGAACGACCGAAAGAACATTAAACTATTGCCATTTTATTTGCTGTGGCACAATTTTCTTAGGTTTGAGCAATTTTCCACGGACAAGAAGCTAACCGGGATCAGAGAGAGGTCACCTAAAACCGCACCAATGCCGCTTATGCAGTTGTGTTTTATTTTGAAAGCATGTTTAAGTACATTTAAATTAAAATTATTAAATAAAAAAAGTCTAAAATATAAACAACCAACGTTCTCCACTTCAGCAAGCAGCAATAAAGTTATCAAACGTTGACCTGTCAGTGGCGATAAAAAGATTCAGGAGCAACGCTCTATGGTAATGACATTTCTGGTTTAAAAAAATAAGAAAGAATAATTGAGATTAAGAAACCAAAATATATGTTATTTTAACTATTCGTTCAGTTTTTTCCATTGTTATGGTAGCGGTTTACCGGAAATTCGGGTTTTCAAAATTATAGTTCATATTACCAAGCATTTAGTAAATGATACAGAATTGAAAAGTAACCTTAACCGAATAAATTCTTTTTATGCGATGCTCTACGATCTCAGGAAAAAAAAATTACCAAATTTTCCATATTTGTAAAATTTTATCTTATAATATAAAACCAGTTTTCTAAGTAAATTTTTCCAAAATCATTGAGCACTTCGGTAAAAATTAACGAGCTTTTTGGAGTTCCAGTAAACCCAGGAACCATATTTACCATATTTTATTAGATTTAACCATACTTATTTCTCAGTGGATAGTTTTTGATTCTAAATACATTTTTCGATTAAAAAGCATTCAGCATTATTCGAAAAAAGTTGCAGTTAAAATAAGAAATCTTTCACTTGGCTTCGTTTACTAAGTTTACTGTCCTTTTTTGCACAACAAGTGAATGCTTATTTACATATTTATTTTGTATATTTATTGTTACAAGTTTTATTATTAAACACATTTGTACTGATTAAAAATGTATCATTTAGAAATTTAAGCCTCAATTGGGACAAGGAATCTTATAATATTTAAAACTATATTATCAAGCTGAAAATGTAGACGTTGAAAAATAAAATAAGTTAAAACAGTTTCTCAGAGTAATTTTTATTTAAATATTTCAATGAGCCGTGTTTAACTTCATAAATTGCTAAAACCAATTGCAACAAATTAAAACTAAAAGTCATTAGTAAAAATATCTTAATTGCAATCTTCAAAATCTAATATTTTTGTTTATTTGCTTATAAAACCAATGATACCGGCAAACAAAGCCAGTGTTAAATGTATACTTTAGGGTTAAACATCCATCGGTTCTTTCAAAAAAAATAATGAATGAGCAATGTAATTAATTCCTTTTTATTCTAAGATATTCAATTAACTCTGCTTTGTGTCTTCTGCTGAAAACTTTGTAAAACTAATTAAAAGAACAACAACCATTATCTTCAGAAATTGAGAAAAAATTCGCTAAACTATTCACTACATTTTTTAGAGTCTTTCTTTCTTAAGTTTCATTTTGATGAAAATGTTAAACATCGCAAAAAATTACCGGTATACCCTTTTGAGCAAAAGAGAAAAAATTGTATAAAATAGGTGAATAATTCCGAATTCTAATTTAAAGCAAAAAATTAAATATATTATTTAAGATGTTGGTTTATTTTGGAAATCTTGAATGTGATATGCGTCATTATAAAGCCCAATACGACTGTGTAATTCAAAACCTAATTAAAGTTCATATGCATGGAGTAATTTTATTACTATTTTTTTATTATTTGGAATACATTTGCAAAGCGCGTATTGGAAATTACTTAATTCCGCTAAAATATTGTATAATTAAATGAGCAATTATCTAATGTTATTTAATAATATTTAAAGGAATATTGGAGTTAAAATCTTTCTTTATGATCACAAATATTTGAATTGTATTTCATATGCTAAATTATTCAAAGAAAAAATATTAATTTTTCCATTATTACTATTTGAGCTCATAATAAATTTATGGTGTAAATATGAAATATAATCTCTCCAACACCACCTTTTACTTGATATCATGTAGTTTTCATTCGGTATCTCTTTTCTGTAGAAAATTCTTATTTCTATTTTGCATGAAATAAACCAAATTCATCGACAGAGTAAATTTTTCAATCTGTTGCAACAAAAAGTTCATTTTAATTCAATTAAGTTACATTGCTAAAAATAACCGGATCAAATTACCGAATAAAATACTTACACTTTGATTGCATCGTCCATAAAAACCATTTTACCGTTAAATATTATACCGTGATGTTAACAGTAATATATATTTAATTAAAGTGATTTAGTGTCTATAACATAATTAATTCTGAAAAAAATTACAGGATGTCAGAATTTTTGTACTGTAATATGTTCCAGTTGGCGGTACTTTTTATAGCAGTTTAATCCGGAATTTTTCACAGGGTCTAAGAACTCACAACATTAACTCGTAGAGCATGTATATTTAAACATATTCCAGACTCTAGTCCATAATTTATGACGTTCCACTAAAAAGACTATGCTCTTAATATTTTATTCATTAGACACATCTAATAGTTAGAGTTAAGTAGAAACTCAAAAATTATAGATAATTTATGACAATTTGCATTATTTTCTAGAAAAACATAATTGAAAATTTTAACAATGGTAGTTTATTCTTTAACACTAGAAGCGCCAATGGGGCCATTTTGATCATATTTTGCTAGTTTCTATGTTGTTTTTTAAGAAGCATATGATCTTCGAAGCTCACATTCTTTGACTTTTCCTAATTTGTTTCAGGGTATACTGTATCGAAGCTACAAGAGTCTATGCTAATTTTTAAAATAAATAATCATAGAAATACCTAAAGCAGCCAAAAGTGTTCATTTAATCCCCGCAAAGAAAGCGTTAATTTTTGAAGTTTCATGTCTGTTTTTGATTTCGCAAGACTGCGAAAACTTGTAAAACTGACTTGTAGAGCACACATTAGGGTTAACACAGACTTGAAAAAATGCCACGCAATTGTTTCCGTTAAATTATATGGAATCTTAGATTCGATGCTAAGTAGCTTAGTTGAACTCTTATTGAATAACAAATTCATGATTGTATCTGAAAGAATTAATTTACATCCTGATTATAAACAGTTATAATACTGGACAAGAAAGAATTTTTGGTGAGTAGTCATTGCCACGTTCGCTAAAATACAAATTTATTGCATGTTGAACAAGCCACATAACTTTGACTACAAGTTTTTTTGTTTTTAAGTTACATAAAATACAAAAAAAATAAGCGTTTATCTTCATTTGTGCAAATTTAAAAAATGGCCGACTGAATTACAACTCTGGGAAAATACGGTGCTCTAAGTATGGATCCACACATAAATTCAGAACACAGTGGGATTACTGATAATTTCTTTTCTTAATAAGATTTGCAGATAATTTCTTTTCCTTTAAATAAATGCTCACATAATCCTCATTGTACGTCTGAATAACTCTTAACTATTTGCAGTGTCACCTCTTCGTCATGACATTTATATTTTGAACTAGAATTTGTAAACAAAACACTCAATGTTTATGTGAGAAAGTAAAAGAATGTCATAACTCAGTTCAGCATTTATGTGAATGCATTTGCAGGCAACAGCATAGATTAAAAGTTAAAGCTAAGTCCAGTCACTTACTGCAATAGAACAAAACTTTAGCATACTAGATGCTAATAAATTATTCTATTCTGCAGATAGCCTGCCTTTTTTTATAACGTTTATGATATTCTTGTCTTCATTGCTTGGATAGTTTTCAAGAAATTTTTTGTCACCCTAATTACACATTGAGCTCATTCTTTTGCTTGGTGAAATAAAAAAAGTAGAGAAAAAGAAAATACATTAATCACAATCTTTAACTTAGAAAGGGACATGATAAAACTTCCGATAGCTATGAGAAATGTTAGAAACCAATTTGCCAATTTTATTACCACTAAAGTCACAAGGTTATACTGTACGCATACTCTAATATTTAACATATGTTGGAACCATATTTTAAAACATGTGTGCTAATGTGTATTGTTTGTATTCGTGTGTTACGTTTATTTTTGTATGACTTGTACGCCATCCAAAGAAATATCTGTTATACAATATTATACTGCGTTGTTATATTGACATTACGAGAATAAAAAAGTACAAAAATCGTCTTTAAAAACCTTTATACATTATTATTTTAACAATATCCATCAATTGAAAAATAATTCCCTTTAGAATACCATAAATTTCTCATAAGGGCTATATTGACCCTAAATGGCGGTCATAGTTTAGTCTAAAATCCGGCTGTTATTGTCTTGAGAAAATGACCATTAAAATTTTGTTTTGAAGTATATAAGGTGCGTCTAAAAAACCTGGAAAAATTATTGTATAATACAACTGAAGTTAATTAATTTCTTTTTAATTTGTGTGTTTGTTTAATTTTCTCTACAACTTTAATTATAAAATATTTTATAATTTTCTTTAACTAGAATTTCATTCCTTTTAATTAATGTAATTTTTGTATAATATGTTGCTTTTTTTTTCTTTTTTCCAATGTCGAGCTAAACATCTGCTATTTTTCCAGTTTTATTAAATAAGAAAAGGATACTAC